TATTAATTTGCGAACAAAAGAAATATGTCTAGCTTGTTTAAAGTAGAATAGATAGTAAAAAAAAATAAAAAAAGAATTGCTCACATAAACAAATCACATAAGGGTTGTACAGGGCAGACCTCCATGATATAACATTCATCCCTTGGGTGATGGCAGAGAGTTTCTAAGAGCTGTTTTTTTGCAGAGCAGCCAGAAAAGAAACATGAACAAAACAATCAAAAGTGCATGAATCAGCAGCAGTTTTGCTCTGCACTACAGCAGTTTAGAGAGGGAAAAAAGGTTTCTGAAACCGTAACACTAGTTTAAGATGAACTTCTCAGTCTACTTGCTAAAGGTTAAGGGAAAATGTTATATAAGCTTCTAATGAACAATGATGAATTTGGACTGTATAAAATGATTGTTGGTAGAACAAGTACATTTATTCTCTCAGTGTCTTGAGCTACATAGTCTCCATCTTTTTTTCAGTAAAGATGCACACTTATTTGTACCTGTATGATACTTTTTTTTAAAGCAAAGGATGTGGCCTTATAAAGTACAGAGTAATGACATGGATGCCTGGGTTAATGGCTTTGCAAATAGTAAAGTATCAGTAATAAATTCAGAGTATATTCATAAGTAAATAAAATAAGCCTTTATGTTTATTATGCTAATGAATAATTTGTTTAATCTAATTAACGAACAAAACTAAAGGTACAGAAGAGCTATATTTGGTGGTTCACTGTCTTATACAGGTATCCATGGGGTAATCTTTGTGGAAATGTTATGCCATTAATCCATCTGTTTGTCAAACAGTACTGAGTCTGACAGATGGCAATACCTGAAGGACCCTAAATTCTCAGCAGGAGATCAGGGACTTGGAGGCCTTTAGTAGTTTACAAACTAAGTGCTAACTGCTTCCTATTCTAGGTCACTCGGGTCTGTTGCCTAGAAAATTAGGAAATGCCAGAAGTTGGTTGATGACACACAAGTCTTAGCCAATCATTCTCTTCCTCTTCCCTTTTTTGTTTCCCTTTGAAAACAGCGGTAGTGTCCTGCAGCAATGATTTCTGATACCTGTCTAAAGAGACATTTTCCTAATAAGAAAGTCTTTATTTCAGTTTAAATCCTAAGTGGGCAAATAAAGTTAAAATTTTCTGTTCCTGCCATATGCTAGGTCCTATGGAAGATAGGTGTTGTCACTTAAAAGCTGAAAATCTGTCCTCAGATGCCAAAAGAAGAGACTAGTAAAAGTTCTAGGTAGCAGCTTTGTAGTAAAGCAGACACAAAGTAGTGTTGAGGATAATATGGGTTTCCTTACCCAATTAAAGATCTCTGTTTAGCGGGAAAATGAAGGTGACTATTTCTATGATTCTTTACGTTGTGATGAGAACCTCCTGCCTGGGATGAGGATCAGCTGGGGTGGGAGGGGGGAAGGTGAGGGGAAGAGTGCTGCTGCAGGCATAGACTGTTTGCACATGCATGCACATGTGCATGCATGCCTCTGTGTGTGTGTGTTTGGCATCCTGGGTGAACTTGTATTTTGGCATCTTTTGTTGCCCTGCTGAGCAACAGCTGGAGGTGGGGGGTGGGCTGGGCTGGGCACTGCTCTCCTGCCTGGGGCAGGGATTGGATGGGGGTGGCGGGGTGCAGTGTCCTGGATTTCCTGAAAAATAATATGGTCACCCTAGATTGAAGCAGAAAATAGAGGAACTGGAAATTCCAGCTACTTTCTAGAATAAATTAGAAATCACAATAATTGGAAATCTCAGTTGTTTTAGCTATGGGTTTTGTTTTGTTTTTAAAAAGATTGGTTTATATATTACCGTAGCATTTGCTATTAATTTAATCATTTGAAAATATTTATTGTACATGTTTTTCAACTTCTAAACAATAAAAAATATAGGGAGTACCCATTATTCCTTCATAATAATACTGACTTTCAGGAAGTTAACGTCCAGTTTTTATTGCTTTCCATGATCTGTAGCAGATGTATGGTAACAATGTCTGGGCTGTAACAAAACTACAGGTTTTATTTCCAGGTCTTCAGATAGTGTTTTATAGATAAAGAAGGCTGATATATTTGTGTACTTTCATAATCTTCCAGAATATTAAACATATGGTTAACCTGTCTAATTTATTCACAGTATCTGAATTCAGATTATAGCAAATGATGATGAAAATGCCCTGGGAAAACTGAAAATGACCTTGTGAATTAACCAGTCATCAAAATGAGCTTGTGTACTCCTCATTCTACAATATCTTGCCAATGATGCCTTAAACCTTTTCAACAAGCAATTCAAGAATTACTTTGACAGTCAGCAAATTAAAACCAGGTATTGGAAGTATTAGAGTTCACATTGTGATTATTTCCTTTATCTCACTGTTGATTTGTTTTATTAGAATCAGAGAGCTTGCTAGTGTTTTATCATTTTCTTAGATCTAAAAATTAAAAATGATGAATATATATATATTTTTAATTATTAGTATGTTAAATTACCTGAAGTAGAGTACATCATTGTATACATTCCCTTACACTATCTTATGCCTCAGTCATGGCAAAGAATCTCAGTATTTTAACAGGTAGCATTTGCTAAACTGATGCATGGGTATGACAATTCTTAACAGATTGGTTTGCAGATCTTTCTAATTAGTGTAAAGCAGTAGTGTCCAACCTTTCAGTCCTGCAAGCTGGGTGAGTGGTGTGGGGTCAGTTTGTGGGCTGCATCCAATCTATGGGTCTGCTCTGGTGTGCAGGGCTGACCCAGCCAGGGCTTGAGCTAGCATGCAGGGCTGGCTCAGTGTGCAGCCCCAACCCAGCATGATGATCATGCCCTGTGCTAGATTGCATCCATGCTCTCAATCCTGAGGTCAAGACTATGTCATTTGGCCCATAAGGCTTGGAAATGTGGCAGTGGTGGCAGTGTTAATTACCACCACTCCTCCACTATCAAATTTCAGAATCCATGAGGATCCCTTGTGAGCGAGATGACATGCGTCTGCAGGCTGAAGATTGAGTACACTGATGTGTAAAGTATACATATTTTAAATAATTGCTAATTACACACAAAAACTACTCTAAAAGAATACTAAGGATATAAAGTCAAGTATTCAAAAAGGTTGAAATACTGGAATTAAGATTTCCCGTGCAACAGTTTGCCTACACCAGGGGTCAATCTTTGGCCCACAAGCCAGACCTGGCCTGTGGAGCCAGGTTGTTCAGCCCATAGAGCTCCCCACATGTCTGAAAATTTGGTGAAGGGGAAGCAGTGGCAGCTAACTGCTTCTCTCCCCAGCTGTCAAATTTCCAGACCGAAGCAACCCCTCAGTCCAGAGAGCACAGTATGCTGGATTGAGTGTGCAAAGCCAACTGGGATGTCTGGGGTTGCGCAGGGTCAAGTGGGGGCAATTAGGGTGGTGCAGGGCCAATTAGGGTGGCATTGGGTGGTGCAGGGCTGAATGGGACCAGTTGAATTGGTGTGGGATGGTGCAGAGCCAAGTGGGGCCAATGAGAACAGGGCTACATCAGAGCTGGTACAGAGCAGCATGGTCTAGGAGAAGGTAGCATGGGCCCATCCTAACACATGGGACTAGATCCAACCCACAGACTGGTCCCATACTGCTTACCCAGTCTGTGGAGCCAAAAGATTTAGTACCACTGCCCTATACAATAAGATATTGTCTTTGTTTACATGATCTTGTACTGAGTTTTTACCCAGGATCACTGCCTTGTTCAGTAATGAGGATAGACACACTCAGGAGATGAAGCAGGGTTATAGAGTGAATGAGGCTTTCACTTGTGTACAATCATATAATTAAACACTGTATCATTTGAGGCCCAATTAATGATGCACGGAAACTTCATTCTGATGGTGCTTAACTTTTAAGCACCTGACTTTACAATGTGGATGCTCTGTTCACATAGGATTTTTTGTATGTGTGTAGAATGTTCAAGAAGCTTAAAACAGCAAAATGAGAAAATGAGCCTGGAAGTGTTTTAAATTTCTTGCACTTGATATCAGTAGATGCACATGTGCTTATTATCTCTAGAGGTCTCTGGTTTTATCCTTGCTTTTGCCCAAAGTTACAGCCATCACATAGTGACCAATTATAGCAGTCTGTTTAACCCCCCTGAGTATCATTTTGATGCAACCTGGACTTTCCTCTGGGCACTTACAAAGGCTGGAGTACAAAAACATTGTGTCGACACTTTGCCATAGCTGGATCTAGAGCATTAGGTTCTAGCAGGCATGCTAGGAGCTATCTAGAGCCTCTGCAGTTGTTCTTGCTGAACCTATTTCTGCCCCACTTGGTACATGCAGTATAGGGTGCACATAAGGTAACAGTAACTAGTGACAAAAGGCGGCACCTGGGAATGGGGAAGTGCCGCTCCAGTTGAAGCAGTGTCCTCTACTGTAGAGGTGAGGGGGTTATGGAGCCTGGGCAGCCAAATAGGGAATTGCTGTTGCACCTAAATGAGGGGCCTCAGACATAACCACTAAATGAAAACCCAGACAGCTTCTCTTGGATACTTTGAAAATAGTGGCCACAGAGGGGCAATCATTCACTGAATTTTCCAAAGACATCTTATGTATCAGGCCATCCTTTGTAGAGGGGACAACATCTTTGGTGGAAGAGTGTTTTTAAAACAAAAAGTATATTAATTCTCTACGCTTTCATATAATTCCAATTTTCTCATATTTCTAACTTTTCTACGGCAGCTACCGTTCTTTGATAGAAGAACTTTGTTTAAATATTGATTTGACTCAGAGTGCAAATTATTTAACTTTATCATCTTCTCTTTCCTCACTGATTTTATTTTAACTTGATGTAACAGGGAATTCTTATCTTGTTACAGAAAAGCAGGGGGGGGTAGAAAGCCAGCCAGTAAAGCTGGGGTTAATAAAAAGCCAGGTGGTCAGGGCAGCTGATAGATCACCTGACTGAATGTGGGCAGGGCTGGAGCAGCATAGAAGCCTGGGCCTGAGTGAAGCCAGGCAGTCTAGCCCTGCAAGCTACTGGATGAAGAGCTTGTGTCCAGGAAAACTGTAGGGGGAGACTGGGCTGACTTCGGAGCTGCTCTAAGGACTGTCAGCAAAATAGTGGTGTCTTATGGAGGAACACAACCCTGGGTAAGGGGAAGCCTTGCCACAAGACAGCAAGCTATTGTTGGCATTTGCTATACCTAGAGCAGGTTAAGTTTGTTACAGCCAGTGTCCTTTTTCCCTTTGTTATGGTTTACTACCAGTGGTTTGGGTGGGACTAGAAAGGGGTGGCCTGGAGGTCCCATTAGTGCCCTAAGGGCATATGCCAGGGGTCAGGCATGGCACAGTGCGGGACCAGGGAGCCCAGCATTACCTGAGAGGGGCAGAAGTAGGGCTAGAGAGCCCACAGGCCAGAGAGAAGCAGAGCGTGGGGCCAAGGGGCCCAGTGCCTGAGAGAAGGGCTGCAGCTAGGCCCAGTGCACCGGGTCTAGGCCAGAGGGACCAGCTAGAGCAGTGAGGCAGAAGCCAGGCAGGCCGAGGCCCCAAGGGAGTAGAGGCCTAAGGTGGCCTAGTGGTGTGGGGCAAGATGCCCATCTAACTGATGACCTGAAATATCTGTGACGCATGGGCATGGATATTGGTGAGGGTGGAGCCCACATAATTAACCCTGAAGGCAATGAGCATGAACACGTACAAGTGTACTACTAGGCTTGGGGAGCCCTGGGGCAGCCACCCTTTTTCTAAAAGATAAATACATTAAGGTATGGCAGGAAAGTGGAAAGGGAGATTACCCAAAGAAAGTAAAATTGATAAGGGCTGAGGGGGCTCCCAGGGTATCACATCCACCCATGGATTGGGACCCTGTTACATTTAGCTTCACTTTTTTACTACGGGTTTGTACCATCTGATGCATGCCTCCCCTACCCCGCCCCCCTTTTTTTCTTTTTTTTATGAAGTAGTATAGTATTGATGTAGCATTATATTTCCCACAAAAACAGACTGATATTTATAGCATTTTTTCTCATGTAAGTTAATTTAATTGAGTTCATAATGGCCTTTGCAGTATGATGTTTTTCTTGTAAATGATTTGTGTCGAGTCCAGACCTCAGTGAATAGTGTAGCTTCATCAGGAGCAGATTGAAGAAAGCTCTAGGCCATTCATAGCCAATCCAGGTTTACCAAGAGGAATCTAAAGATCATAGAAAATTGAACTCCATCTGTTGTTGGCCAGATTAGATTTACCTCAGGCTCACCATACTTCTTACAAAGCATTTAACAAATAACTTGAGCAGATGGACCTCTATGGGTAATTTTTTGATTTATTCCAAATCATCATTTGGATGACTTTCAGTCCTCTAAAGCAACTTTCTGGAGAATACAGTGCAATACGTTTAACCTGTGATCTTTCTGACAGTTACTTCTCATCTTAGTTTAGAATTCACAAATCTACACAAATGAGATTGTAAGTATATCATGGCTGTTTTTTCTCTATATTGGTTATATATTATTTCTATTTTATTTCATTGAATTCTCCTCTTGTTATTTCCAATTTCAAATTTCTGTAACTAATTGTTAGTAAACATAGTCATTTTTATGAGGTAGAAAATACTCATATGGATTCTAGAAATGTCTCAAAACTACTATTAATCTTTCTGAATGAGGGAAAATTTTAAAACTTTGCAGTCTGTAGAAATATTTAAATAGGAAGTCATGTTTTTAGTTTGTTTTGGACACCTTCTAAAAATGTTAAGTTATTAAAATACTTCTCTAAGCATTGTCAGGAAGGAAGGGGTTACTTCTCATCAAATTCTACTTACACTATACATTTAAATTTAGTGAATGCCTGCAAGTCTGAGAAATTCATTTAAAATCATAATGTTAATATTATGGTTAGATATATTCCCTTTTGATAATCATTACATTCCTAGAGAATTTGAAAAATAGTTCATTGATAGAAAAGGACATATTATAGGGGGTTTTTTTAAACTTGTTTTATTTCACAATTATTCATCAGATTGTTCTGCAAAGATTGATTCTAGGCACATTCCTTTTCCTCATGTATGTTAGGCACAGAAGCCTGGCAATTAATCAAGCAAACCATCTTTGCCATGCTGATGATCCCATCCTTTAAGCAGATGTAGTAAATGTTAACATGTCAAAAATAAATTACAGCCATTTGCTGTCAGAATTGAATAGGACCACATTTATTTTAGGTTTCTATTGAATTTAGATGGGGAAAAATGGTTATGTTTTCCTCCCAGAAAAGACAATTAGCAATCAAATAAGAGTTGTTCCATGAAGTAAGAGATTACAGCGGGTTATTTTTGACTTGCTCAGAAATAATTTGGAGTATACAAATACACCCACCCTTACTTCATGGAACAAATCGGAGGAACTTGTTCGTAGTAAGCTTATTTGGTTATCTGGAATAACTTGTGTTGGGAGTCTTGTGGTGAAGTGGGGGTCCCTGGCTTGCCACAGGGCTAGCTTCCTACCTGCCTCTGGGCACGCCGCCTACCACGCCTTGTTGGTAACTAATAATGTTGTTAATTAAAGGTGGGAGGCTGCCCATTATACACCCTGATATTCAGGGGGGGCTATCCGCAGCTCCATTCCACCCCTACACTGTGACCTAAGCCTCGCAGATGACATCTCAGGCAGTTAGCTAAACTATTGCCTTTGCCCATTAGCTGTGGCCCCCAGCCCTGGGGATCTTCAGCTTCCATAATCCCTGGCCCCGTCTCAGGCCCAGTCGGAACCCTGAGCTCCTTAGCTCTTGGTGAGTGTCCCTTACGGTGGGCCTCTGGCTCTTTTGACCATTTGGTCCTGGCCCCAGCATTGACCAGTCAAGTGCCTCATCAGGATTTTCGCCTCCTGCCTGCCTTAGGGATCGGGGTTCCTCATTCCTAGCTCAGGTGCTCCTAGAAGCATGACTGGCCTTGTGGGGTCACTCGCCCAGCAGGCTCAGGCACCTCCTGAAGCTTACCTGGCCTACCCTGCTCTGCTGGTAATGGAATATGGCTCACCCAAAGGTGAGGGCTTGGGTTAAGGCACCCCTACTCACCTTTCACTGGGGTGGTAACTGGCCTGGCATTTCCTGGGGGCTCCCGCACCACTGAGAGCCCCACCAGGCCACCCACTCCTGGCAGGGTGCAGTTTTAGGTCATGTCCAGGATCAGGAGCCTCCAAACCATCCCCTACAGCTCCTGCCCTTACCTCCAGGGATGTTTAAGCAGCCTTGCAGCAAGGCAGTATTACTGCCTGCCCTGCCAGCAGCAAACTGCCCTGCTTATATAGGCAGCCATGGATCAAAAATGTCCGCCGCAATTAAGCACCTGTTGGCCACTTGGCTTGGCCCTTACAGTGGCAGGCACCAATATTTCCGTGCTACAAGTCTGGTGTCCATAGGACAAAAGACAGAAGAAAAGAAACAGCATACTTTTATTCCCAATTGCTTCCATATCTGCCTTCACTGAATTTGGACACCTAATGGCATATTTTATTTTATTTACAACTACCACAAAAGCATAGTATATCTGAGTTAAATTTTTTTTTTTTTTTAATAATAAAGCATATGGAACTGCCATCAGTTACATCATCAACGACAGCATATACACATCTGTTATTCTGGAAAGAATAAATCTAATTTAATTTTTAGGTAGCTTCATGTTTAACAAATAATATCAGTAATAGTAGTAGCATCAAATCATAGTTATAATCAGTCTGCCTATATGAATATTAATTTTAATCCTGAAATGAAACCTGAAAGACAGGTTCTTCTGTTGAGAAATGGTGACAGGAGCTCAGACAAATAACCCTGCTGTAATACTAGTGCACCATGCCCAGTGAAAGAACCCCTGAGTCCTAGGGATTGTAGCAGTTGAGATCCCCACAATATGATGGGTTGGCACATGTCAAAGCTGGCCAATCAAAGATGGTCCAGCTTCTGGAAGGTGTTCTTGAGTATCCCCGGCCTGCTGGCCTCCACCAGCACAGGCACCGTGTCCCCTTCCCCCGCCGCCCCCCCCCCCCCCCCGCTCTCCTTGGAAGGGGGAATGTCTGTACTGTTCCCTCCCAACTTAATGTATGGCACTTAGAAAATTTAGAGTGTTTCCACCTTGGGCTTTTTGAACCCCTGTACTTAGCCTAAGATTGTAAGCTACTCGGTAAAAGATGGCTTTTCTGTTCTATGTTTGTACAGCACCTAGCACAATGGAGTCTTTGTCCTCTGGTATTACAAATAATAACTATAATAAACATGAGGCTAGGGCATATGTCTGAAACACCTCACTGTTTCATAAACTGCATTAAATATTATTCCACTCAAAAAAAAATGTGAGAAAAATGGCACTTCCCTCTCAACAGATATGTTCTTTTGCGTGAGTTCACAGCTGTGACCACTTCATTTTAGTTTACAAAGTAAGTTTTACTGCTAAGTACTACTGTTAGCACTGTAGAGCTTAGACAAACAAGAGAGTGAGTTGCAATCTATTACTTGTGCTGCATCAATAAGCACAATGAAAGACTGTGAATATGCAAAGATCTCACTTAAGGCAGTGCTTATTGATGCATCACAAGTGCCACAAATTAAACCACATGCCTTCCCTAAGTAGCACTCTGATTCCCTTCTCCTGTCTGATTTGCTGCTCTGCTTTCTACTTCCTGCCCTGTGCTCCCTGCTCCACCTGCTGCTCTGTTTCCTGCTCTCTACTACTTTGCTGCCTTCCCTTTTCCCAATCTGCTGTGCACTACATACACAGGCTGCACATGTCACTTGTGGCACAGAAGCCAAAGGTTGGCTACCCTGACTTAGGGACCCCTTGGATTTCTCAGCTGTCACTCAGAGCCAAGAAGTTAGATAGGTGTCCACTTCATTCAGCTCACATGGATCAATAGATGACACATGGGGGAAGCGGCATGCCTGCCTCCCCCCCAGATTTCTGTGCTAATGTCAGGACACGGGGCTGCAGCCTGGTTGGAACTAGTACCTGGCAGCAGTGAGGCTGGCAGCAGCAGCAGTAGAGAATTGTGCCCTCCCCCTTGTCAACACTTACATATTGTCTATGCTTTGAGCAGCATTCTGTGACTGGTCTTTTATGTTACATAAAAACCAGGTGGGTAAGGGGTGCCTTGCCATGGTGGAGTGGCTGGAGTGGGGCTCTGAGCAGTGGCACAGAGCCTCCTCACTCTGCTTTGCTACAGAGCCGCCCAGGGGAGGGAAGTAGGGCAGGGAACCCTGAGCCACATTGGGTAGCTTGCATCTGCCCCTGTGCACAAATCTGGGGGCACATACCCCCTCCATGCACACACTCCCAGGGAGGGAGGCAAAGAGAGGGAGCCAGCCCCACTTCTGCTGCCTGGATGAGCCACCTGTGGCTCCATTCCACTCCCCAGCCAGGCCCCAAGGCTGCACATTCCCACCCCAGCCCTAGGACCCACACACTACCCTGGCTGGGCAGCATCCCCAGACCATGCTTTGCCCTAGTTTACTCCCTCCTCTCCCTCACTGTGGAGGGCTTCAATCTGCCCCTCCCCACCCCTCTGTATAGACTTACCTGGAAGGAGCTGGGAGAGCTGGTCTCCATGCTACCTGCCTGTCAAGTTCATGTGTATCTGTGCACATGCATGTGGCACCACCTGCCTCCTATCACCCTCCTCCCTGCTCCCCCCGCAAGCAGCCCCTTGCTGGCTGCAACTGTGCGAGCAGCAATCCTTTTTTTTTTCTTCCTTTTTTTTTTTTTTTTTAAACAGGATGTCTCATGAGCCACAGTATTGTGCCGATTGGGGTGCATGTGGCCTGCAGTCTGCGAACCTCCGCTCTAAAGTAACCAAATGCCAGAGGTTTGGTTTTGTGAATATCAGCTCATATATTAATACATAAAGAGTCTTTCTGTGAATAGGGTTCTATGCTGCTCTCCAATGGCACAGTCCTTCCTCTGCGTTTGATGTCTGTGGCAATATATACTTGTATGGACTCTGAGATTTGAAAACAGGTAGGTTTAAACATGTTTGTATTTTGCTTTTACCTTTTCTCTGCTTGGGCTTTATTGTAGTTCAGTTGTTGTCTTTTTTTATTAATTTCCCTCATGAACATAGCACACCTGAGAGAGAGAAAGTCATGTCTGGTTGATGCTATATTTCATGCTTTTTACCTGAGACCTTGTAAATATTTAATATCCACAGATGGAAAGTGAATAAGAATCTATCTATTCTAATTTCTATTAAACTGACAGTTTAATCTGTTTTCCTTCTGACCTCTCCCCAGACAAGAGAAATTTGAAAAGTCGAGCTTGGTTGGAGGTTGAAGTTGTACTACTTGGCTAAAAGCAAAAAAAAGGGGGCTAATAAACTTTTTTATATCAGCAATAAAGTCAGCATTTGAAAACAGCTACTACACAGTTGTATCTGAGGTATTATGTTTTTCCTGGTGACAAATAATGTTGGTGATAATTGCTCCAGTCGTAGAGTGACCTGGCATGCTCCTACTAGTACTTTGTAATCACTCAGGTTGGAGGGCTGGGGCGTCTCTCCTCCTCAGAGTAAAACTTATTGGCGGAATTGGTGCCACAAGGATTAGTAATTATTTTTCATGTAAAATCTGACTGTTAAGTAAGAACCATTTGGTGTAATCCCTATCCATATTGCAGCATAGACTATCAAAAGAATTCCAAATCTGGTGCCTCTGTGCTGCAGAAAAAATGTCAGATTAAAGCTAGAGGTCAAATGTTTAAAGCTATATTTGAATTACAATAGCTTGGACTGTTCAGTGAGGTGGAACTTTCTAGTCCACAAAAAGTCGGGGAGACAAGGAAATATAAATTAAAACCTAGTGTATCAATCACAACTGTTCTTTCATTCCACTTTGATATGCAGTTAACAGTTCGGCTATTAATACAATTACATTTAATTAATCACAGTACTCTGTTTAGTGTAATATACCATGATTAGTTCTGTAATTGAAAACTAATGGTATAAAGTGGAAAGGTCAATTTAAATGGCATATGACAGAGGAGAGCATCTATTTGATCACTCTTAAGGTTTTGCAGTTGCAATTGTGGCCTGGCCATGCTCTTGGAACCAAAACTGTACATTCATGGTTCAAAGCAGTCTCACTACACCTTTTCCAAATGCACTCTATTTCATTTTTCTTGAGTTGAGAAAATCAACTCTCTCTCAAATAAAAAAATCTTAGAGATGGAAGAGAACTGTTATATCATAAACTCATCATAGGTAATGTTTTGTTTGGTCTAATTTTTATATATCCAAAGCCAAGTATTAAACTTTATCAGATCTTTTTAGGATTGTAACTATTTTTAAGGCAATTAAAGTAACACTTCATTAAAAAACAAAAGAAAACAGACCATTCAATGGATTGTCCATTTTTCAATAAGAGACTTTCTTAATAATTTTAGCAAAAATCATTTAAACTTCATAAAATGTATGAGTAGTTACCCAAATTAGCAATTTACATTAGGTTATAGATCTTAAGTTATAGATGTTAAAGATGGAAAAGAACTGTTTCAGTGGGTAACTTAATGCATCTCACTATCAACCTGATCATTTCTGATTGTGTACTTTCTAGTTCTTTGTCTGGTTCTAATTTAAAAAGCCCCAGTACTTCCTCTATGAACCAACTGTTAGGAAGACAAGTCTTCCCTTGCTCAGCTTCATCCAATAACTCTTAATTATGCTTTCATGGCCCTAAAGTCATATGTTCTCATTCCTTGGCTCATTTATAGTCAAATGGCCAAGCATGAATCGAAGCGTGGAATAAGAAGATGGTTTAAGTCTTGTTATAGCACTGCCTTTATTTTTGATGTTGCTTATTGCATACTATTCCTTCAGCTCTGTTTTGGAGAATTCTGATGTCTCTGTCTTGACTTCTTGAAAGCTCAGTGACAGTAAGAGGCTGATTAAACAGCCAAGGACTAGCATGGTATAGGGCAGAGGTTGGCAATTATTTCAACTGGAGGGCTGCTTAATTTGTTTTGGTGAGATGTCGAGGGCCGCAAGGGTGACCCATCCCCTTGACAAGCATACTGCCCCAGTCACCATCTTGGGGCCTGAAGTCCACTCGCTAACCTCTGATCTTTGCCACTGGAAGTCCCTCCCCTTGCCCCTGGAAGTACTCTTTTTGGGAAAGGGCTTTGTCATCTTGGCACCAGAAAAAAACCCAAACGATAGACTAAAAATCAAACGTCCATAATAACATATTTTAATTTAATTTTAAAATAAATTTTGTCCTATTTGTATTCATTTGTGCTCTGTATATAGGAATGATTCCATAACAGCTCAAAATGAAGTCTTATTCTTGTATATTGTGGGAGAGGGGGTAGTTGTGGAGGGATGTGGGGGATATGGGTGGGTGGCTATGGGGTTTGTGGGGGATGGTTTGGATGTGTGCATATGTGGGTTGTGGGGGTGCGTGGATGTGGGTGGGTGGGTATGGGAGGTTTGTGATGATGTATGGGTGGGTATGGGGTTTGAGAGGTTTTGTGTATAGGGGAAAGGTGAGTAAGGATGTGCATGTTGCTGTATGTGTGTGGTGGGGTGTGTGCATGTGGCAGTGAGTGAGACTCCCCCCAGAGGCACACAGGTATGTGTGTGTGTGTGTGTGTTGGGGGGGCGGGTAGATGTGGTGTTTGTAGGGTGATTGTGTGTGAGGGAAGGTGTGGTTGTGGGGTTTGCAGGAGAGGGTTTGTGGTTATGGTGGGGTGTGCATGGGAGCCTCTGAGCACACCCCCAGAGCTCGTGCACCATGTGGCACCTCCCTGCCACTGCCAGGAATGTGCAGACCCAGCATGGCCCATTCCTGGTCTCAGTGTGTCTTGCTGTCCCCTGGACATGCAGCAGGGCTAGGGAACCTCCTTCACGTTGCCACTACTGCTGGCCCTAACCCTGTGGTATCAGTGGGAAGTCACATGCGCAGCCCTGGCCCCATGCACCCCACACCTGTTCCAGGCTAGCTCATCCGGTCTGAGCAGCAGCAACATCTGACAGAAACTGTTGCTCAGTGCAGTAGGAAAGTGGATCCTCCCCTTTGCCACTTCTGGGCAGTTCTTAGTGCAGCCACTGGAGCCTGCGCCATACTAGGCTGCCCTGCAGCTGCTCTGCGCTGTCACTGCTGCCATGCTGGGCAGCCCAGAGGTGGCAGTGACAGAGATGCAGGGCAGCCTGGCATAGTGTGGGCTCTGCTGGTTGCACCAAGATCTTCCCAGCAGTGGCAAAGAGGTAGGGGCTGCTTTCCCCCTGCAGTGAGCAGCAGTTTCTGCCAAGCACTGCTGCTGCTGCCACTGCTCAGCCCAGACAGGCAAGTCTGGAGTAGGCACAGAGCATGCAGGGTCGGGGCTGTGTGCATGGTCCCCATTGGTACTGTGGGGCTAGGGCCAGTGGTGGTGGAAGCTGGAGGAGTTGTCACTGCTCAGGCTGCCTAGAAAAGCAATCCAACTGTGGAGCTGCCCCAGTCCTGCTGCATGCCCAAGGGCTAACAGGACATGGGTAGTGCCTCAACTAGGCAGGACCAAGAGACCAATGTGGACTGGATCCAGCTCATGGACTGTATTTTTTTGCTCACCCCTGCTTTGGAATCATTAGCTTTACCTTCCCTTTATATGCCAGGCATACACAATACTAAGGCTCATAGTACAGTGATGGCAGCAGCAGCAGAGGGGAGTGGTGGTGAGTGGGTTGGGGCAAAGAAGGGAAACAGTGGTGGTGGACAGGGGAAATGGTGGTGGTAGTGGCAGGGGGGAGTGGTGGTGGCGGCAGGTGGGAACAAAGCATCAGCTGGGCGGGAGCACAGGGCCTGTGCCAGTATGCTGGGACTGGGGCTGTTGGGGGCCCAGGGCAGGGTGGCAGGAGTGCGGAGCACTGGCCAGAAGGGGCACAGGGTCCTCTTGGCTCCGTCATGTGGGGCTCACATACAGTTCCTGGGTCTCTGCCCGAGATGTGCAGAGCCCTGTATGATGGAGCTGGCACAGGTCATGGCATAGGTCATGGCAAATGGCAGAGGACTGCCCACTATGGAGCCAGGCTAGCTCCGCCCCTCTCCCTGCCACCCTGGCTGAGCCTCATGATCTTCACCACTGGCTTCATCACATGGGGCTCACTCTGGGACCATGAGGTTCAGGAATGTGAGACCCACTCAATGGAGCCAGTGGCCTTGCCACATACTGTCCTGGGCCTCACCAGGACCACACGCTGCCAGTGTGATCCGCCTACCATAGGCCGTGAGTGCTCTGAGGGCCTGCCACCTGCTGCTGCCACTGGCAGCAGGGGCTGTGTGCAATGTGTGTGTGTGTATGGCATGTGTGTAGGGTGGGGTCCCATACCGCACCATACACATGCACCCCCACCCCCTAATGCACACCCCACGGCCCCCCTTCAAACCCCGTATCCAGCCACACATATATATGATTAATCTTGATTTTAATTCTTTTTTTTTTACCTTGGTTCTCATAGGAAAAAAAGCTACCATTATATACCTCTTCTCAGATAGTATGTGGCAGACCTAATTCAGTCAGTTATGATACCATCAGTTTGGAAGCCCTTCTGAAGCCCTTTCAGCTTTATCAGATCTTTTTGGAGGTTTGCTTTCTCAGTCTGTATTCTTCATCTGTTCAAAAGAGCAACATTCTTTTTCTTTTCCTCCACCCCATTCAGAGAGGTTCCTGACTCCTGGGAAGATGCTTATATGAATGTGGTGAATAATGTAAAAAAATATTCACGGGAACTGGGTAAAAAAAATGTCCTATAAGTAGTTGATTAGTTGCAATGAGGTATAATTAAAAGAATATAACTTTACTTCCTAATTTTTCATTTGGGGCAGTGGCTGTTGATTTCAAACTGTCTTCAATTTTATATGTAAAGGTTTTGTAGTAGGAGATAAATTACAGGGGAATCTAAAAAGATAAGAAATGTGGATACTTATTTCAGTTGTCTAAATTCATGTAGACCATCACTTTACCACCTGGTCCTCTTTCCACACAATTCTC